AATGTTTATAGTCATTATATTTTTTTACTCTTATGACATGCTATTTGTCTTATATACTGTTTTCTTAATGCCAAAGCCTTTCTACAGGGATAAAGTCCCAAATTTGGCATATGAGAAAATTTTATCTGCTCTGAAATGTGCTTTGTGTTTAATCAACGGAGGCCAAAAACCTGCAAAAGTCTTCTGGATTGTTCAAAACCAAAAGGGAAAATAGTTAATTGGAACCCAACTTGGATAATTAATTGCTTCTCTTCTTTCTTCTACCTAGTAAACATATTACAGCCTATAAATTATTTCTAAATGGCTAATCACCAGTGTTCAGCATAGGTAAAAATGTAGGAAGGAAAAGATCAATAATATTTTCATTAATGTTGGGTGTTGTAGAACCATTTTTTCACTCATAACAGCCCTAGATCATAGTAGGACTACTGCCTGCTTCGGGTTTTCTCAGCTATAATCTTTATAGGAATTTTACCAGGCTTTTTCCCACAGGCTGGCTTGGCATCTTTCAATTAACAGCTGAGTGCTTTTAACTTTGCACCACTAAACCTCCTCAACAGTCCTCAAGGCTAATTTAAATGCTTGAGGTTATGGTTTTCAAACTTTATTTGCAAAATTAAGCTTTTCCAAATTCTCACCTCCAAAGGTTTTGAGTCAAAGAAGTATATGGCCTGGTTTGGGATAAAGGTTTAAAACAAACAGGTCAGCTCATTCAGATGTAAGTGGTCTCCAGCATGGCATTTAAATGCGAACACTTACATAGCCAATGAACCACAAGCAGAAAGCAGGAGAAATCCACTCTCTGGCATGGATTCCACAGTCAATCCATACTGCATTTTTAGTTGTTTGTTCCTTTTTTGAAACCTGTCAAAGAGAACCAAAACAATGTAAGAACAGTAAGTTTTAGAATGATTAATATCTTCCATTTTTATAGTGGTTTTATTTAATTATTTAATTTATTTCAATAAGTCTCTACGATACATATTTTTTCTCCTCTCCATTCCTTTGGGGTATCTCAAGGAAGTTGATGTGATTAAGGAAGAGCTAAGATCATATCCCTGGTATAAGTCATACTAGGATTCTTGATTTTAAACTTAAAAAATTAATTAGTTACATCAATTGCTGTTGTTGTTATGTGCTATTTAATCACTTGCTACTCATAGCAACCCTATGTACAACAGCTTTGAACACTGCTCTATCCTGTGCCAATCTTATTGTCTCTGACATACCTGCCGTCATTACCCCAGTCACTGGATCAATCCATCTCATCAAGGTTCTTCCTCTCTTGTGCTGTCCCTCCACCCTTCCAAGCATGATGTTCCTCACCAAGGAATGGTCCCTACTTGCAATATGCCCAAAATATGACAAAGCTTCAGAATCCTTGCCTCCAAGGAGGAAGCTGGTTTCACCCTCTCCAGATCCAACTTGTTTGTTCTCCTAGCAGTCCATGGTATATTCAATGCTCTTTTCCAGCTTCATAGCTCAAAGGCATCAATTCTCCTTTTATCATTCCTAGTCATCCAGCTTTCTAATGCATGTCAAGTAATTGCAAAAACTATGGCCTGTATCAGGTGCACTTTAGTCTCCAGATTGATATATTTGCTCTTTAGGACTCTGGAGAGGTCCCTGACAGCCGACTTTCCCAATGCAATTTGTCTTTTGATCTCCTCCTGGGTGCTGGTACCAAAAGTGTTGATTGTGGAGCCAAGCAAACTAAAGCTGTTAATAATCACTATCTCTTCACCATCTATCATGACACTGCTAATCTGCCCAGTGCTGAGAATCTTTGTTTTCTTTATGTTGAGCTTCAATCCATGTTGAAGACTACAGGCCTTGACCTTCTGCAGCAAGTGCTTCAGGTCCTCCTCAGTTTCGGCAAACAGGGTGTGTCACCTGAATAACACAAGTTGTTGATGAGTGTTCCTCCTCCAATACTGATGCCACATTACTGCTTAGAGAGCCCAGCTTCTCAGATGATCTATTCTGCATATAGATTGTAAAAGTATGGAGACAGGAGACATCTCTGGCATACACTCTTCCTGATTTTGAACCATGCATTGTTTTCTTGCTATGTGCTGACTCCTTTATGTATAAGACAGAATTATTTTTCTTTTGACAGTCCATGGGATATTCAGTGCTTTTTTTCAACATTGCAGTTCAAAGGCATCAGTTCTTCTTTTCTCATCCTTATTCATTATTCAACTTCCAGATGCATGGGAAGACCATGGCTTGGATCAGACACTCTTTAAAACTGGCACACTGCTCTTGAGCATTTTGGAGAGCTCCTTGATGGTAGATATTCCCAATGCAATATGTCTTCATTTCTTGACTGCCATTATCATGAATGTAGATTGTGGATCTAAGCAAGATGAAATCAGTGACAACTGCAATATTTTCTCCATCTATCACAACGTTGCATAGTCCAGGGGTGAGGATTTTTTGGTGTAAATGTAATCTGTATTGAAGATTGTAGTAGTTTATCTTCTGTAGAAAGTGTTTCAAGTCTTCTTCGTGTTAAGTGAGCCAGGTTGTTTTATCTGCATAATGCAAATGGCTTGTTAATGACTCTTTCCCCAAACCCTATAGAAGAAAAACCTCATCTTTTTCTTCTCGTACTCCAGCATCTCAAATTATTTGTACAGTGTACAAATTGAATAGATATAGAGAAAGGATATAGCCAACATACACACTTTTTTCTATTTTAAACCATCCAGTGGTGTTTTGTGTTTTGTTGTTGTTGTCGTTGTTGTTGTTTTCTGTTCAGACAGCTTCTTCTTGGTTGATGTATAAATTTTTGCATGAGCACAATTAAGCATTCTGGGATTCCCTTTCTTCTCAATGCTACCCATAATTTGTAATGAACCACATAGTCAAACACCTTTGCATAGTTAGTAAAACACAGATAAACATCTTTCTGGTATTCTCAACTTTTACCCAAAATTCATTTGACATTGTCAGTGATATCATAGTTGCCATGGCCTCTTCTGGATCCAACTTGAATTTCTCTCTTAAAGTATTCCTCCAGCCATTTTCCAATAATCTTCAATAATATTTTACTTTCTTGTGATATTAATGATTTTGTTTGATAATTTCCAAGTTCTGTTGGAATGGAAATAAATATGACTCTCTTCTAAAAAATTCATCAGGTAATTGTCTTCCAAATTTCTTGGCATAAGCTAATGAACATGTTAATCAACAGTAATTAATGTTATAAAATAAAACATATATGAGTGAAGTTGCATGGAAAATGTTAGGAATCAAAATGTATATGAAAGATTGAATGAAATTGTAATTACAATGCTATAAAACAAAATGTATCGAGTCCCGGAGCTGCAGCTGCAGAGTCAGAATTTCGCCGCCTCGCGCCACCGAAGCCCGCCCGACGTGCATTCCCGGTACCTTCCTCATCCAAATCCAGTATGGCTACTCTCAAGGATCAGCTGATTCAGAATCTTCTTAAGGAAGAACAGACCCCCCCAGAATAAGATTACGGTTGTTGGGGTTGATGCTGTTGGCATGGCCTGTGCCATCAGTATTTTAATAAAGGACTTGGCAGATGAACTTGCACTTGTTGATGTCATGGAAGACAAATTAAAGGGAGAGATGAGGATCTCCAACATGGCAGCCTTTTCCTTAGAACACCAAAAATTGTGTCTGGCAAAGACTACAACGTAACTGCAAATTCCAAGCTGGTTATCACAGCGGGAGCATGTCAGCAGGAGGGGGAAAGCCGTCTCAATTTGGTCCAGCGTAACGTGAACATCTTTAAATTCATCATTCCTAATGTTGTAAAGTACAGCCCAAACTGCAAGCTGCTTGTTGTTTCTAATCCAGTGGATATCCTTACCTATGTGGCTTGGAAGATCAGTGGCTTTCCCAAAAACCGTGTTATTGGCAGTGGATGCAATCTGGATTCAGCGAGGTTCCATTACCTAATGGGGGAGAGGCTGGGAGTTCACGCATTGAGGTGTCATGGCTGGGTCCTTGGAGAGCATGGAGACTCTAGTGTGCCTCTATGGAGTGGAGTGAATGTGGCTGCTGTCTCTCTGAAAAATCTGCATCCTGAATTAGGTACTGATTCAGATAAGGAACAGTGGAAAGAGGTTCACAAGCAGGTGGTTGACAGTGCCTATGAGGTGATCAAACTGAAAGGCTATACCTCCTGGGCCATTGGACTGTCTGTGGCAGATCTGGCAGAAAGCATAATGAAGAATCTTAGGAGGTTACATCCAATTTCCACCATGATTAAGGGTCTTTATGGAATTAAAGATGATGTCTTCCTTAGTGTTCCTTGCATCTTGGGGCAGAATGGAATCTCAGACGTTGTGAAGGTGACGCTGACTCCTGAGGAAGAGGCCCGTTTGAAGAAGAGTGCAGATACACTTTGGAGAATCCAAAAAGAGCTGCAGTTTTAAAGTCTTCTGTTGTACCATTTCACTGTCTAGGCTACAAAAGGATTTTAGTTGGGGGTTGTGCATGTTATCCTTTTTATTCAGTCGGATTAAAGCAGTAAAATATGACATAGGAAAAACATCCATTTCCTAAAGGTAGACATAGGAATGGTCCATAAAACCCTACAGCTATGTTCTGATGGTGGTACTTACCCTGTACAGTTCTAAACTGGTTAGTATAATAGAATTCCACCACGTCTCAGACACCACTGCCAATGTTGCACATGCTGCAACTGCCCTTCAAACTAGAATGTTTACTGTGTTAATAACGTTGGCCTAGTATAAGCTTTTTATTTTTTAGTCACATTCTGTGCTCTAATGTACAAATTCAATATTGCATGTCTTGTACATTATTGTTCTTAAAGGATCTTATTTTGTGTACTATATTTATCAGAGTAATGTATAATGCAACTCTGATAATGTGATGTAAAATGTAAAGATCTACATATAAGCATTGCAACAGTATCATACCAACTAAAACATCTAATAAACCATTAACAGTGGAGAAAAAAAACACCAAAATGTATCTAAATGAAAACCCTATATGATTTGTAAACACATGTAGATGATAGATAGATGATAGTAGATAGGTAGATAGATAGATAGATAGATAGATAGATAGATAGATAGATGAACATATTTAACTTTATAGAAACTAATTGAACATTTGAGAATAGAGATTTGGTTCTGATTCACAGTATTGCTGATTCACAGTATTGTTGTCTTGGACCAAGCTGCCAACTCTCTAAATAAGAATTTTCAAGCTTTGCTCAATGACAGTCTTTGATGTCTTTAAGTGAATTTCCTAATTGCAAACAAAGTAAACTGTACCTTATTAACTTTTAAAAGCAGTTACACCACAGTTTTACAGAATTTAGAAAAGAGGGAAGAGCATTTTGGAATCACATATGTGGAGTTGAAATTCCTACATCCCTGGGCACCCATTGCCATTCCGTCAATTACAACTTGTAAGGACCCTTTAGGACAGAGTGTAACTATCCTAGGGGTTTTCCAAGGCTGTATGTTTACTTTATGTAAACTGACGGGCACATCTTCCTACTAGCAAGAGCTCATGAGTTTGAACTGCCACCATTTTGGTTGCAGTTGTATGCTTTAATCATTGAGTCAGCAGGATTATATGCTGCGTTTACCAGAAGGCTAGCTGCACAAATCCACTAGCCACTCTGTGGTAGAAAGTGTGGCCATGTGCTTATGTGAGGATGATAGCCTTATAAACCCAGTGGGTTTAGGTCAACCCTGTCCTATAGAGTCACTGTGAGCCAGAATGGTCTCCAGAGCACTGGGTTGGGTTTGGGTTTTAGAGTTGTACGACACAATGGTTTAGCATTCATTTACTCACCAGAAGATCATTGGTTTGAAACAGCCTAGCAGCTTCACAGGAAATTCTGGTAG